TGGTTAGGGTCCAAAAGACGATGAACACGTTCGGCTAGATGCACTTGCTGATATGCCCGTGGCATTCCTGCTGTGAGTTTCGTTGTCCCTCCCCATCCGTTTTGGCCTCCCCCTCCAACCACGACCTCATTTCGTAGCATAATATAATTTTACATCATAATTTTTCTTGTTGCATGGTAGCCGGCTGGTAACGATGCCCACCCATTGCTGGTAGCTCAGCTGAGATGCAACTGTTGTATGTATTCTTTTTTCTTTTATATATTGCAGCACAGTAGCTGAGGTGTTTTAAATGTGGCTTACGTGTATAATGATGCTGTTGCTGCTGCTCCTGCTGCTGCTGCTGCTGATGATGATGATGATGATAATGATGATGATGACCGTTCTTGAAGAGGAACACGACAGTGGTCAGTTTGAAGGCACCTCTTCTGTGTTCTAACTCGTGTTAAATAGAGACGCAAGTCAAATTAAGAAAGGTTCAGCTCTATCTTTCAGTAAAGATGGAGGAAGCTCGCCGGTTCCAGGAACCTTGTTTCGTTTCATCACGGAAAGCTCATATCGAACCACTTCCAAAGTGGGAACTTTGACATTAATCTCCCATCTCAGCTCACGTTGCTGGCCAGTAGCTTTAATGATCACATAGCTGTCTTGTAATCCGAAGGCGCAAGTTCGAGCCTGCTTATGCACCGGGCGATCCTCGCAGTATCCTTAGCGCACGCGCGACTTTTTATGGTTGCGAGGCAGCGAAACCCCCTTACTGGGTATCGGCGTACTGCTAATCTCACCTCTGGCTACCAGAACTTGCTGCGATGCTGCACAATTTAACTAACTCCAGTTTTCTTTGTCACTCCACTCTGCTGAACAGTCCATCTTGTCCCGACCAGCTGTTGATGCGAAGCGGTTAGTGCATTCTATTCTGCATCTTCCACTGCCTTCTCATCATCATCGCGTCGTCATCGTTCTTTCACCTGGTGTCTGACCACCAGTACAGCTCCTGAAGCTATCCTCAATTCGCTTACTATTTTTCTAGGTTACATGCGCGATTGGACACTGTTGAGTTCGGGCGGGTAAAGTACTTGCTCTCTAGTCAGTTTGCCTGTGTGTCCTGATCATTTTGATCGCAGTGGTTAAACTACACTGGGTTTCTTTCCACATTAATACTGAGTAGTTGAGTCAGCAGCTACAATACTTCACCGACGCGGTAAACTAGTCCTCCATTTATCGTTTTCAGACCCAATGCATTTCCTCTACGGTAGCAAAACTTACTTCAGCCCTGATGTGGATTCCGCAGCACACCCATCTGATGGGGACGACCATGGGCATACTGCTATTTGCATTTTCCTTGCTGTTCGCGTGATGTTTCATCGTGAACAACACACTTGGTTATGGACGCACATTCCTCTTTTGACATTTTGATCCATCTATGCCACCCTGTCCTTCTGAGATTGAAGTGGAATTATCATTGATGTGTTATCCCAGGGGTGGCAGACAATCGAGGATATTGCCTCACAAATAGTTCGCATGTACCTTGATCTTGCTGATACCGTCTTTCGTGCTTCCGTTTTGCAGATCACCGATCTCCCCGGTGGCATTGCTGTCGTGCAATGTGGATTCGGTCGCATTGTGAGTGCACTATACTTTGCCTGCCTGATTTTTCAAAAATATATTCGCGCATCTTTAAAAGATTTCTGGTGCTTGTGTAGAATTCGCAATTCTGTCCATCATTTACTTGACGCTAATCTGAGTGCAACTAAAAATTCACCACATCTACACTCGGTCATACAACCATGACACGCCCAGAAAAGCATTGTACGGCTGCTTCATTCTCTCGGGAATCGTCAACTTGGCTCATTCTGTCTGGATCCTTTGGAGCTAGAACTCGCAACCCGACTGCACTAGTCCTTGGTGAAGACCACTGAGCTTCGGAGGGGACGGTAAAGACCTACTTGACAAAGTTAGTAGGTGTGATATAGTGCCACTCTTTATCCAGTAACTTGCACGTTACTGCCATGCAGAGCACAGGGTCAGTTCGCTGCTCGCTGAGAGGGCCAATCGTTTTTCCTTGCGCAAATTCTTTTGGTTTTCCGATGTGAATCTATGCATGTTTGTTCTTTCTTCGTCCACCCTCTTATTTTTGAGCATATCACGCACTTCTTCCACCTCTGTTATATGCTTCAGCACGTGTTCACTGTTCAAAATCCGGATGCTCTGATTAACGCCGCTTTTGAGTGCGCCCAAAATCATCTTGGCTTGCAGCTTCGCCGAGCTCAGTTTCCACTCACCCGGGAATATTGCCGCGAGTTTCGTTTGGGAAAGGCAAGGCAAGTCGATGGACGAATTTTTAGGTATTATTACTTATGAGTAGGAGGATTTTGGTTGTAATTTTAATGTATTCGTCCCAGCGGCTCACAGGCTACGTAGCGCAACCGACAATCCGGGAAAGAACCAGACCTCTGAGGCAAGCCACTGTCATCTGGCAAGGTAGTAACCTGCGTGACAATGGAACATAGGGCGTATTGTATCCCAATTAGCCTGCAAATTATGTTGCCCAACCACCGTCTCCCATAGCCCAGTGACTTAACCTGCTGCTTGTTGGCATCAGCATCTAGTGGTCATGGGTTCGCTCCTTAATAGGGGACCGAAGAATACGCACTACTTACGAGCCCCAATAGGTCGAAACGCGTCTGGTGCTTTTTCGGATTGGCAGTTGTGTTATGTAGCCTGTGAGCTCCTAGGTCGAATGCATTAAAAGTAAAACTTACGTACTAACTCTTTATTCTCTGAGATATATCTTTGCACGATCGATCGTTAACATAAACCAACTCAAGGTCAAGGCCACAGCCTTCGGTTTGAAAAAACGTTCGCTCTGTTCTCAGGCCAGTATTTTCATTATTATTGTGTCATATATTGTTATATCTTGTCGTGAGTTATATAGTTCGATATAATATTTGATTCTGCGTTATCCGGTGATATATTTAGATATATATTAGCCGTAATTTTCTCGTTTTTTGTCCTCCTAGCGATTTTTCGATCTTAGTGGTAGCGTGCCCTTATCCTGTTAGGCCAATTTTATCTCGTTGATTTTATTGTTATAACAGTGTCGTCCTCTAGTTCACATAATTAATTCTAGTTAGTCATTTAGCGTTATACTTCGTAACTATCTGTAATAATTCAGCATAACTTCTGTATCTCTCAGTTACACCCATTTGCTCGTATCGATCGTAGTTATTTTTAAGATGACGAAGCAGTCTCCTTGTGGAATTTGCTGCAAGATCGTCGGACATAGAGCTAATGCGATTTCATGCAGTCTCTGCAGCGCAAGGCTTCATATTTCGTGCGTTGGTCTGACTGTAGACCAATTTCGTATAATTCATAGCATTAAGAGCGAATTTTTGAAGACCGTTTATAAGCAATGCCAAGCTAATCTTGTGCAGAATAAAACGGACACGTCTAACAAGCGGATCAGCACAAAGAAGTGCTCTAAAATTCCCAGCTCGCCTTGTGCTTCACCACAGTCAGTGAAGCAGCCAACGCCTAGTACCTCATCGCATCCATCGCGGAAACAAGGTACTAAAGTTCCATCAGACTCTCCCTCAAGACCTACTATATGTTCAGCTGACAGTAAAGTTCCCATTTGCAATAAACAAATTGAGGATAACGATTGGAGAGTACAAACATCGAAGAAACCAAAACCAATATCTAATGACCTGAGGCGCCGTAGCCTCATGGTCTTTTACGCACCTGAGTCAGGTGATTCCGATCCTCAGGTGCGTTATGCACATGACGTCGAATATTTGCAACCATTGATTGACAAACTACTCGATGTGAATGAGGACGGGCTCAAAGTGCAGCAGATCGCCCGTCTAGGAAAGAAAATGGGGGGCAAAAGTCGGCCCATGAGGGTGACAAATACCAAGTTACTATTGTCTCGCCTTAATAGGCTGAAGGGTCTGAAGATCCACGTGCGCGCTGATTTAGAACCGGCAGACAGAGAGAAACTCAAGTCTGCCATGATCGAATTAAAGCGGCGCACGGAGGATGGAGAAACAAACTTCCGTATAGTAAATTTTCGAGTAGTTCCCGGGTTCCTCCACGGATCCGGATCAACAGGTTGCTAATACTTCAGGCATCGCAATGAGGCTGGACCTTACCGTGGTGCGATGGTTTGTGTGCCTCAGCGATCCATTGAGCTACGCTGGGTGGTGCTTTTGCACCTTCAGAGTCACTCATACCAGATTGGTCAATGGTTAGAGGCCAGACAAACTCAGCCTCCTGGTCCTCCAGATTGGGGGTTGGAATGAGGGTGGCACCTTATTCCTTAAAATGGACTCCTTGTAGCCCAACGCCAAACCCGCTGCCTTGCGGTCAGGTTTTTGAACCAAGGGCTTTGGTTGAGAACCCTAATCGTTCTCCTGTCTAGGCCTGGGCAACGTGACAGTATCCTGCCCACGCAATACTATGAATTTTCCTTCAAACAATTTCTTGATGCTCTGGCCACCGCAGAGGATAATAAACGGTGCCCTATCTGCTGCATCGAGCAGGGTGGATAGGGGTTTGGATGCTACTGCTCAAGCCTTCCCGTCTTCTTATTCCCCCTCTTACGCTTTTTCACTCTTACCGTCCCATTCCAACTTCACTTATATCCCCCCAGTTTTCAACCCCCCGATTCTTGGCCCTCCCCCAACATGCTTTGCTAGGCATTTACCTTCTAATTGCAACTCACACGTGAACGCGGAGCGTCACTCCTCTCCTGTCGACAAGCCCATGTCCAACCAAGCGGTCCAATCCAGTTCATCGGCTTCCATTTGGAGCCCTCGATCCTCCTTCAGATTGGCATGCCTCAATGTACGCACACTGCTACAAATCGGTCAACAGGCAGCACTTGCCCGAACATTGGAGACCCTCTCGATCGATATCTGCTGCTTATCAGAGACTCGCCTGCAAGACTCGAGCACTGTGCTCATTCTGCGATCCCCTTCAGGTGACGCAAGCAGTATTTCCTCATTGCGCCTATCCGGTGACGATGCAGCTTCGAGCACCGGCCAAACCGGTGTTGGTATTGCTCTGAGTCCCCGGGCTGAAGCTGCTCTGGTTGATTGGATTCCAATCAGTAGCCGGATGTGTGCGGTCCGATTGGCTGGCTCGTTTAAAGCTTCGAAGTCGCGCGGGACTAATAGATGTCTATTCATCATCGCTGCCTATGCGCCCACAAACTGTAGCGATGATTCGGTAAAGAACGACTTCTACCGCCAACTGACCCAGCTCCTTCGCCACAGAAGAAGCACAGACACTGTTGTGCTGGCGGGGGATATGAACGCACAAGTTGGAAAGTTGTCCACTGATGAACTGCATCTGGGCGGTCAACACGGTGTAGGCTCCCGTAATGATAGCGGTGAGCGGTTACTTCATTTGTGTGAAGATGCTCGCTTATTTCTTGCGAGCACTAATTTCCGACACAGCACCCGCCGAAGGGTGACTTGGCGCCCACCAGCCTCGAACCAGCCTTGGACGCAGATCGATCACATTGCGATAAGTTACCGCTGGAGAGGCTGCATCCAGAATTGTCGCTCGATTTGGAGCACATGTGTGGACACCGATCATGCACTTGTATGTGCTGACATGCGGATGCGTTTTGGCGGACGCCCACGACGACGCTGAGCGTATTGACACCAGCCAACTGACAAAACCAGCTGTTCTGAATGCGTATCGAAGTACGCTAACATGCGAGTTGAGCAAGCGCTCACAGGAGACAATTGATGGTCACTTGTCACATGTTCGCCAGACCTTACTAGCAGCAGGCAAATCCTCATGTGGTATGTCTAATAGACAATATGGACATTGGGTCTCTTCGCAGTCTTTGGAACTTATAGATGCTCGCCGGCAAATCCCGGCT